TAGGGAGTGAAACAGTGGATAGAAGACTTCTCTCTCTCTTGCTGTCTCTCTGTAATTCTGCCTTCCAAGTAAATAAATAAATCTTTGAAAATTAAATTAAATTAAATAAAAACGCCCACCTTGGGGTTGGCATTGTAGCATAGCAAGTAAAGCCACTGCCTGGAATGCTAGCATCTTATGTGGGCGCTGGTTCGTGTCCTAGCTGCTCCACCTCTGATCCAGCTCCCTGCTAATGGGCAGGGAGAAACAGCAGAAAGTGGCCCAAGTACTAGGGTCCCTGCCGCCTATGTTGGAGACCCAGAAGAAGCTCCTGGCTTCAGCCTGACTTAGCCTGGGCACTGCGGCCATCTGGGGGAGTGAACCAGCAGACAGAAGATCCGTCTCTTCCTTTCTCTTTCAAATAAATAAATAAATAAATAAATAAATCTTAAACAACAGAAACACCCAGTTGGGATGGGTGTTGTAGCACAGTGAGTTAGGCCACCACTTCAGATGTCCACATCTCAGGCTGGAGGCATTGGTTTGAGTCGTGGTTTCTCCTCTTTATACAGCTGCTGGCTAATGTGCACCCTGGATGGCTCAAGGACTTGGATCCCTGCCACCTATGTGGGAAATCCGGATGGGGCTCTTGGCTCCTGGCTGTGGCCTGGCTCAGTCCTGGCTGTTGCAGGTATTTGTGGCGTGAGCCAGCGGATGGAAAGTATTACTCTCTCTCTCTGTCACTCTTTCAATTAGATGAAAGTAAGCAATAATTAGTAATAACAATGAATAATAATGATAGAGCCAGCACTGTGGTACAGTGGGTTAAACCACCACTTACAATGTCAGCAATTCCATATGGGGTAACAGTTTGAGTCCCAGCTGCTCCCCGCTAATGTGCCTGGGAAGGCAGCAGAAGATAGCCCAAGTACTGAGCCCCTACACCCTCGTGGGAAACCAGGATGGAATTCCCAGCTCCTGGCTCCAGGTTGGCCCTGCCCTGGCTGTTGTGTCCATTTGGGGAGTGAACCAGCAGGCAGAAGATTATTTGTCTCTTCCTGTCACTCTTTCAAATAAAAAAATAAACAAAATAAGCAAAGAAGAAACAAAGATAAACATTTTAAAATGATTAAATAAATCAGCCTACAGATATTATGGGACGTTGTATAGCTATCAAACATGTTCACAGGGGCTGGTGCTGTGGCACAGTCGGTAAAGCTGCTGCCTGTGGCACTGGCATTCCATATGAGCACTGGTTTGAATCCTGGGTGTGCTACTTCCTATCCAACTCCCTGCTAATGCTCCTGGGAAAGCAGCAGAAAATGGCCCAAGTCCTTGGACCCCTGCACCCATGTGGGAGACCAGAAAGAAACTCCTGGCTTCGGAGTAGCCCAGCTCCAGCCATTGTGGCCATTTGGGGAGTGAATCAGCAGATGGAAGATCTCTCTGTCTCTTGTCTCTCCCTCTCTCTGCAACTTTTTCAAATAAATAAATCTTTTTAAAAAGTGTTCATAAGCAATTTCAAAGCAATAGCTAAAAATGATCTGAAATAATGAGACAATTTATTAAAAATTGCATGAAGAATGGCTAGGAAGAACCACGTAAAGGTCAGAAATGAATGTTCACTCAGCCTGAGCTTTTTTTTTTTTTTTTTAAAGATTTATTTATTTATTTATTTGAAAGTCAGAGTTACACAGAGAGAGAAGGAGAGGCAGAGAAAGAGAGAGGTCTTCCATCCACTGGTTCACTCCCTAACTGGTCACAACAGCTAGAGCTGTACCTATTTGAAGCCAAGAGCCAGGAGCTTCTTCTGGGTCTCCCACACCAGTGCAGGGGCCCAAACACTTGGGCCATCTTCCACTGTTTTCCCAGGCTATAGCAGAGAGCTGAATCAGAAGTGGAGCTGCCGGTGCCGGCAGCTTTACCCACCATGCCACAGCACCAGCCCCTCGGTCAGAGCTTCTAACAGGCTCACCACCACACCTTTTGTTCAAGTACAGCACCCCACAACTAACCAAACTGAATTTCTGGATGATAGGATATGGAGAACACAGTCGTCTCTCGGCATTCCAGGAGCAATGGGTTCTGGGATACCCTACGGACACTGCCGACGCTCGAGTCCCTCACGTGGGATGGTGCCGTATGCGTATATCCCACCCACACCCTCTCAGGTCCTCGCATCACCTCTGGACCACTCGCACTACCTAACAGAGTGTAAGTGCTACGCACACAGTTACTACACTGCATTGTCAGGAAATAACGTAAGAATAAAAGTCCGGGCCGGCACCGCAGCTCACTAGGCTAATCCTCCGCCTTGCGGCGCCGGCACACCGGGTTCTAGTCCCGGTCGGGGCGCCGGATTCTGTCCCGGTTGCCCCTCTTCCAGGTCAGCTCTCTGCTGTGGCCAGGGAAGTGCAGTGGAGGATGGCCCAAGTGCTTGGGCCCTGCACCCCATGGGAGACCAGGAGAAGTACCTGGCTCCTGCCATCGGATCAGCGTGGTGCGCCGGCCACAGCGCGCCAGCCATTGGAGGGTGAACCAACGGCAAAAGGAAGACCTTTCTCTCTGTCTCTCTCTCTCACTGTCCACTCTGCCTGTCAAAAAAAAAAAAAAAAAAAAAAAGAATAAAAGTCCGTTCACGTTCATACGGGTGCAGTTTTTCTTTTTCTGACCATCTCTGAAATGTGGATATCCGAATCTGAGCTATAAAGCCAGTGGAGAATCAACTGTACTATCTTCCTTATGCTTCACCTCTGAATCTCAGACAAAATAATTTCACAGGAAAAACAAGCTCTGAAGGGAAGACACCTGCCGTGGCAACAATGCTGTGTGTCCAGGAAGTGTCTCCCAGCATCCCCTCCCACCAGCCCCGCCCTGCTGCCTCTGCACTCTGGCTAGGGCATTTACCCAGTGATCCTTGAGCACCAGCACTTCGCCGTAAAGGCCGGAGCGGCTCACCCCAGCTCAGTGGACACCTCGGGTGAGTTTGAACAGAGGGTTCCCAAGTTGGCCCAGCCGGCTCCCTGCAGAAGCCTGAGGCCCAGAGAAGGTTAAGCTGCTGAGGAAGCCCCAGCCACTCTGGGGAAGGGAGAACTGCTTCTGTGAAACACTGCTCCCACCAACCCAGAAGCTCTGGGCAACGACTGCTGGCGGGAGCCCGTGAGGACGGACAAGAGGGCAGGGTGAGCCACCAAGAGAACAGGCTGGCCCTGCTTATGGCTTCGGGCCCAGCATCTTCAAACGGAAGGCAAGGCTTCAGCCTGGACCCCGTACAGCCTCAGCTGACGCGCAGCAGGATCTGACCGGTGTGGTCACCACCAGTAGCTTCGTGAGACTCTGGGCCAAGGCGACCCCAGAGGGAAGCAATGGTGTGACCTACGCTCAGAGCCAGTGCGCAGGCTCGCGGGCTGCTGCATTCCCAGGGAGGCTGGCCAGACCTTACCCCTCACACGCTGCTGTGTTCATTCTGACTTTGCAGAAGGGCCACGGATTAACTGTTCACCACTGTCAGCAGGCAGCAGAATCTCAATAAGAAAAGGGACAGATGGTCCTTCTGCTCGGCACAGAACAGGTGCCTGCCGCAGACAAGGGCTGGGCTCACGGTCCAGCCCCTCCCCGCTCACCCTGTGCCCTGTGTCCTGTGCCCCGCTCCCCCCCACCCCCCAGCCTAAAACCTACAGGCTTCATCTTCAAAACCAGACCAGAAGCTCCCGAACTTAGAAATTTCAGCACAGGGCACAGCTGTCTGCAGTTATCCACGCAACTATGGAAATAAGGCACAAATCTAACATTTGCTGGCCAAGTTCCAGAACATAAAAGAAAGAAGAAGAAAGCACAACTCTAAAACAAGCATCACAAAGAAAACATGTACATAAGTATGTTCTAGGCTCTGTCCTGGCAAAGCAGCCAACCTGCCATTAATAGAACATTAGGTACAGCAATGGCGGACAGGGTCAGGCCCAGAGAAGGGGCCTGAGGTTCCTTTGGGCAAAGCAGGGGAGAAAGACGGCGGGTGGAGTGGAAGACCAGGCAAGAAGGAAGCACTCTGCAGAGGACGAAGCTGAGAGCTAGGGTGGCTGGAAGGCTACACGACGTCCGTGTGAGGCCGCCTGATGGACAGGTACGGGGCAGCTCCAGGAGAGAAGGCAAGGACAGAGACAACAGTGTGGGCTGTCTTTACGGCACCACAACCTGCAGTGCTGGAACAAGTACAAAACAGGACCCTTGTTTAAGAGGGAGAAGGAAGCAGCAGCAGGACAGAAGCAGGTACCGAAGTGACCACAGGACTGGAGGCTGGGACACTGCCCAGGCCCCAGGGCCCAGGAGACAAGCAAGGGCCACAGCACCGGGGCTGCAGAGCCAGGTGTGACAGCTGACACGAGGTCCTCCGTGCACAAAGGGAAGCGGGTTCAGAGGCTTTGAGAAACAGTGCAAATCAGAGCCAAGGGGAGGCCGAGTTTCTGCAGGGGTGAGAGCAAAGGACAGAGAGGAAAGGAAGAGGGTAGTGAGGCCGGGGGACGCCCAAGTCCAGCGCGAGCCAGAGGCCTGGGCCAGGGCCACTGGGCTGCAGGCAGACAGGAGACACATGCTGAAGGCTATCAGGAGGCCCAGAACACAGGTGCCCAGGGCTTAGAGACTCAGATCAAACCAAGGGGGAGAGCAAAAGACCAAACGGGACCACTTGCCTTCTCTAAGAGAGGCCAGAGGAGGAGGTCTCGCCCTGGTAGACAAGACCAGGCATCCAGAAGCCAGGGGAGACAGGAACTAGCAGGGGCAGACACACCCCCCTTGCCTGTGTGGAGAACAGTACACCTGGAAAGCTCAGAAACACTGGAGCTTTATAAAACCCGTGCAAAGCCACAACCCTACTCCCTGCCTTGTCACCCTGCAGCCACAGCCACTCGTGTGTGCGTCTGTGGCCGCCTCAACTATAGGTCTACTCAGGAGCAGAGGTGAGCCCAGCAGCACACACACCACCTGAAAGAACAGTCTGATAAGAAGAGGAAGTGTTCAATACTCACAGGAACAATAAGCCCTTGCCAAGTCAATAAATTAGCTTCATCAACCTGGATGTTACGGAAGTTTTTCATTCCACATTTGCGGATCTCTTCAAGCTCCTGTTGATTAACAAAGCATAAAGGGGTGTCAAATAGGGGAAAACACCACATATTAAGATCCCTCCTGACTCCCTCAAATCAAACCAGGGGAAAACACCGCCAACGACAAAATCTGCGAGCGAAGACAGCTCTCGCCTGATCTGGCTAAGGGGACGTGGAGCTTCCGTGGTGCCCTCCTGGAGGCCGCTGCCTGCACCCGTACCCCAGACCAAGTCAGACCCCCACCTGGGTGAACCCTCTCAACAGGACGGGGAAGACCGTGCTCCTGCAGATGCACTACTCTCCTCTCTGGGTGAGTCACCAAGTCTCAGCCCCCTGCTTGGGGCAGTTACGGAGCAGGGGCTAACCCAGGATGCTAACAACCTGACTTCTTCCAACCAAGATTTGGTAAGGGCTGACTATGCACTGAACACTAAGAATGCAAAGATGAGTAAAATGCAACTAGCAGTAAAGCAGAGGTAAACGCATCCCCACACAGCTTTCTACCCATCCTTGCTAGTGTGATTTCAGAAACTCAGTCTAAGCACAGGCACACGGCGGAGAGACCTTCCAGGTTGCGATGGGGAGGGGACAAGAAACCTTCACTGCTGCAAAACAGGAGTAACAAGACCCAGAGCTGCAGACAATGAGGGGGAACTCTGTCATGAGCCAAGGCCCTCCCTGCAAACATGAGGGGTATTACATAAACCAGCCGATGAGGCAAATGCCATTTCAACCCAAAACCACGAGCACTGTGACAAATTACTTCACAACTCTGCCTGAGCTGTCTTTGAACTTGACTGTCACTCACTGTTCAACTGTGTACCAGCCTGACATTTCCCACTGTCGGCCAACATTGTGAGTGAGCCTGCAGCTGGTGTGCTGTAACCCAGGCGGCACAGCCTGCACCCTCCCACCTGTGCACCGGCACCACCAACATTCCTCCATGCTGGACACCTGGAGTGCCACACCCAGCCTCCTGTCCAGGGGCAGGACCGCACCCGCCACCACCTCGAAGCGTCTTCTTTTCTGCAGCCTGAGCACTGCCCAGCTGAGGCCTACCTCCTCTGCCCAGCGCCCTCCCCTCAGGCCCCACCCACACACCCTCCAGCAAGGGAAGGGCCCCTCTTGCAGTGCTGAGGCTCAGAATGGCAGCTAGGCGCCCACCAGCCCCCTGTCAAGCCCACAAGATCCTCCACACCCTACAGTCCCATCACACAGCAGTCTGTAAGACACACTGGGGCTAGACAGCATGGAAGGAACAGTTCCTGAGTAAAGGGCGGGGGGGGGGGGGGGCAGGGCAGATCCAGTGTTGCAGGTGCTGGGTTGTAGGATTGAGAAATGTCTGGCCCAAAGTGGCTCAAGAAGGAGAGTGCATTAATGGGACACCTGCAAAAAGTAGTCAGGACACACTGGTTTCATGGCAGGTGACAGGCACTGAACCTCTTCCCACAGGGTGTCACTGCTGTCAGCCCTAGATGCTTCCACAACCACCTGGACCTGGGCCCAGCCCTGAAATTCTGGGCCAGCAAGTATGTGTACAGCCTAAACATGGAGTTTTTTCTTTCTTTCTTTTTTTTTTTTTTCAGGCTTATGTATTTGAAAGGCAGAATGACAGAGCAAGAAAAAGCAGCAGAGAGAGAGAAAGCTTCCATTCGCTGGTTCATTCCCCAAACAGCTGCAACAGCCAAGGCCGGGCCAGGCCAAAGCCAAAAACTCCATAAAAGGTCTCCCATGTGGGCTGCAGGTCTTAAGTACTTGGTCATGACTTGCTGTTTCCAGGTGAATCAGCAGGTAACTGGACTGGCACTCCAATATGGGATGCAGGTATCAGAAGTGGTGGCTTAACCCATCGTGTTAACATTGTATTATGTTGCCTGCCCTGAACATGGGGATTTTTAACAAGCTACACAGCTTGAGGAGGAGGCACTGCCAGGTGCTAGCAATAGGGGCTGTGACTCCCAGCGGGGGCCTTGTTTCTGAGCCTGCAGGAGAGAAAGCAGGCATGCAAGGGCTACCTGCTACTGCCCTGGACTCACTGGGAACACTCCCCAGGGGATTATAAATCCTGGGCAGACCCACACTAAGTCCCCATCCCCAACCAGGCCAGGTGTGAAGACAGGGATCAGGATGCCCCACGACTGCAGGACCTAACACAGAGGTCCCCAAATATCTGCCTAATGACCAGGTGAGCAAGTGGGAAGCTGGGGTTTGGGAGGAGAAAAAACAGACCTAGCATGAAAAAGATTTTCTATAAATGTGTATCAAAGTTGTATTTTGGGGGCTAGTGCTGTGGTGTGGCAGGTTAACCCACTGGCTACAGCATAGGCATCCCATAGCATCCAGTTCAATTACTGGATGCTCCACTTTCTGATCCTGGCCCAGTCCCGGCAGTTGAGGCCATTTGGAGAGTGAACCAGCAGATGGAAGAGATCTCTGTGTGTAACTCTTTCAAAATAAATAAATCTTTAAAAAACAAGGGCTGGCGCTGTGGTGTAGCAGGTGTAGCCACCGCCTGCAGTGCTGGCATCCCATATAGGTACTGGTTAGTGTCCTGGCTGCTGCCCTTCTGATCCAGCTCTCTGCTAGGGCCAGGTGGAAGGGAGGAGCCAGGAGTTTCATTCAGTTTTCCCACGCGGGTGAGGGGACCAAGCACTTGGGGCCAATTTTTGCTGCTTTTCCCAGGCGCATTAGCAGAAGCTGAATCAGCCACAATAAATAAATCTTTAAAAATAAAATTTTTTTTTAAAAAGGAAGTATTAGAAAATGACACTCAATGTTTGTGGGAGAAAATAACTTTTTAAAAAAGATTTGATTTATTTGAAAGAGTTACAGAGAGAGGTAGAGAGAGATGTCTTCCATCCACTGGTTCACTCCCAAATGGCCGCAACAGTCGGAGCTGAGCTGATCTGAAGCCAGGAGCCAGAAGCTTCTTCCAGGTCTCCCACATGGGCACAGGGGCCCAAGGACTTGGGCTATACACCACTGCTTTCTCAGGCCAAGAGCTGGATCAGAAGTGGAGCAGCAGACCAGGGCTTTAGGCCACTGTGCCACAGTACCAGTCCTAAGAAAATAAGTTTTAAAAAAATCTAAATAGGGGGCCAGCACCATCACACAGCAGGTTAAGCTGCCATTTGCAATACCAGCATTCACATCACAGCATCAATTTTGAGTCCTGGCTGCTCCATTTCTGATCCAGCTCCCTGCTAATGCACCTTGGAAAGCAGAAGACAGCCCAAAAAGTACCTGGGCCCCTGCCACCCATGTGAGAGACAGGGATGGTGTGTTTGGCTCCTGGCTTTGGTTGTGGTCATCTGCAGAGTGAATCAGCAGATGGAAGATCTTTCTCTATGTCACTCTGCACCTTTCAGATAAATAATGGATCTTTTTCAATCTAAATATACTTTTTTTTTTTTTTTTTTTGACAGGCAGAGAGACAGAGAGAAAGGTCTTCCTTTTCCGTTGGTTCAACCCCCAGTGGCCTCTGCGGCTGGTGCACTGCAGCCAGCGCACCATGCTGATCCGAAGCCAAGAGCCAGGTGCTTCCTCCTGGTCTCCCATGAGGGTACAGGGTCCAAGCACTTGGGCCATCCTCCACTGCCTTCCCAGGCCACAGCAGAGAACTGGACTGGAAGAGGAGCAACCGTGACAGACTCCGGCGCCCCGACTGAGACTAGAACCTGGGGTGCCAGCGCCGCAGGCAGAGGATTAGCCTAGTGAGCCGTGGTGCCGACCAATCTAAATATACTTTTGTGGCATCATAAATCCACATACCAACAATATAAAGTACAGGTGATAAACACAACATTAAGTTTCACAAGAATTACAAAAATATGACAAGATGAGGCTCAACTATAACAGCTCAGGAAAAAACTCTTGCTCAAGAGAAAGGAGAGGAAGCAGTGAGCACTGTGGGTAGGGGTGCAGGGAGGGTGCTGAAGGGTGCTTTGGCATTAGGGAGATACACAAAGATGAAAGCTAATGAGGGGCCGGCACTGTGGTGCAGTGGATCAAAACCCTGGCCTGAAGAGCAGGCATCCCATATGGGTGCCAGTTCGAGTCCCAGCTACTCCACTTCAATCCTGCTCTCTGCTGTGGCCTGGGAAAGCAGTAGAAGACGGCCCAAGTCCTTGGGCCCTTACACCCATGTGGGAGACCAAGAAGAAGCTCCTGGCTCTTGACTTTCAATTGGCTCAGCTCCAGCCATTGCAGCCATCTGGGGAGTGAATCAGCGGATGGAAGACCTCTCTCTCTCTCTCTCTACCTCTGTCTTTCAAATAAACAAAAATAAATCTTAAAAAAAAAAAAAAAAAGCTGGTGAGCCTAAACCATACCTGCCCTGGCCAGAGAACAGAAAGGCAAGCTGCCATTAGACTACGGTTATCGGATACAGTCTTAACTTACCTTGCAATGTCAAGGCCTGCTCACCACCCTCCCCCACCCCTCTGCATACAATTCTAACCAATAACCAGGAACAGAAGAGAGAAAAACTGAAACAAGCTAACAAATCAGCCCTTTCTTCTTCATCCCACAGCAGTAGAGAATTTCCCAACAGGACCCTCACTTGAGCATCCGGAGCCCTGCCCATGAGACAGATGCCAGGCACTGTAACACCACCCCACCCAGTTTCCCAACGTCCTCTAGAGCCTCGGCTGACAGCCACTGGCACTATCAGTGGCCAGGATGCTAAAAGTCCTCCATTGCACAAGTCAGCCCTGCAGGCAGGAACTGTTCAGCCCAAAATGCCAATCATGCCTCCACCCACGAAAACAAAGTAGAGAACATGGACTAATTTCAGAGAAAAGACAGGTTCCCTGTGAAGATCTGAGCCCCCAAAAGGCATGATGACGACACAAAGCTTCAAAATGGCAAACACTCAAGTAAAACCGTGCCCCTGAGAATAGTCCTGGTACCAAAGCCCTGGGGGAGGAAGGCAAAGAAATCAATGTAAGTTCAGAGTTTGAATTCAAAAGGATATTAACGAATGATGGGTAAAAAGTAAGAATGAAAATAGGAGAGAA